GGCATGGCAAAATCACCAAGGATTTTAGCTGCCAGGACAGCGATAATTGTTTATATCATCTGCCTGTATTTCTGATCACATTCTCCACACTAGAACCCTCTTTTTCTTTCTTATTTATCTTCATTCTTAGAGAAAAGGGTGGCCAGGCTGCCACAGCTGGACCACCTTCTCTCCCCATCCCAACTACATAATCTATATGCACATAAATGAAGCATGATTGTGTGATAGGGTACAAGATTTTATCCTTTGTGACTTCTTGATCCTTTCTCATGTCAGAAAAAGCTACAGCGGAGCTAGAATTTGAGAACTGGGCTCTAATCTCTGCACCATCTAGCAACAAAGGGGGAATATTATTCCACCAGGCTGAGCTTCAGTTTCTGTTCTTTAAAATGACTTCGTGTGAGACATTTTCAAAGAACTAGCACAATGTATAAATATGCAGGAGTCATTCATTCATTCAACAAATATTCACTGCTTACTAAGTGTCAAGTAATGTGCTAGGTAGAGGTATATAGCACTCAATAAAAACGTGAGGTGTTTTTTCTTGCAAGTGTGTTTTGGACTTTATTATGTTTTTAATATTCTGTATAGGGATGTTTCTTCCCCACCCTGTTCTCCTTTGGTCAAAATAATTTTCTCTGAATTCCTTCTTTAAGGTCTGCTAAGTAGCATAGAGTGATGGTTAACAGCATGGGCTTAAACCAGACTTTCAAGGTTTGAATCCTGACTCTGCCACTTTTTAGCTATGAGACATTGGGTAAGTTGCTTAACTTATTGGTGTTTTGTTTTCTGCATCTTTAAAGCACAATAATACCTACCCCATTAGGTTGTTGTCAAGAATAAAAACATTAATACATGTAAGTCTTCAAATGTTATCTGGCATTAAGTAAAGTACTTAAGAGGTGGTGGTTATTATTATTTGCTACCCATGGTTCATAGAGTACTTACCTTGCCATGAAATCAGTTCTGTCCCAGGTACAAAAAAGCAATTAGAGACCTTGTTTCTCATTTATATTTTTTAAATAACTATGATGAATATATTCTTACAGGCCTGCACTATCCAGTATGGTAGCTACGAGGCCCATGTGGCTATTGAGCACTTGAAATGTGGCTAATTGGATGAGTAGTTCGGCAAGTTTAAAGTAAGCCAGATTTGAAAGATTTAGAAGAGAGGCGTCAATGAAAATAACCAAGGAATGCCAAAAGTCCACCTCTCTATAAGAGTAACTAAAAACTAGCAAAAATTGTGAGAATCGACTTTTTCAGAATGCTGCCAAGACAAATTAAAGAAGGTCTAAATAAATAAAAAGATTTACTTTCTTCCTCAGCAATGTGAAGATACCACTTGTCCCCAAATTGATCTATAGATACTATGCAATCACAATCAAAACTTCTGCCAGCTTCTTTTGTGAAAACTGATTCTAAAATTCAAATGAAAGTCGCAGGGCCTATAATAGCCAAAACAACTTTGAAAGAGAAGAGCAAAGTTAGGGGATTTACATTACCTGATTCCAGATATATTATAAAGCCCCAGTAATCAAAACAGTGTGACATTTGCATAAAGAGAGATAAATGGAACAGAATAGAGTTCAGAAACATAAATGACACATACAAATGACAAGTGATTCTTTAACAGCTTTATAAGACATAATTTACAAACCATACTACTTACCCATTCAAATGGGTACAATTCAATGTTTTTTGGTAAGTTCAGAGTTGTGCAACAGTCACTGCAATCTATAGATCATTTTTGTCCACCCAAGAAGAAACCCTGTAGTTATTAGCAGCCACTCCCCATTTCCCCTACTATCTCCCTCAACTTTAGCAACCCTAATCTACTTTCTTTCTCTCCAGATTTGCTTATTCTGGACACAACTTGGTCTTCTATGACTAGCTTCTTTCACATAGCATCATTTTTTCAAGGTTCATCTAAATTGTGGCATGCCTCAGCCCTCCATTCCTTCCATTTGCCAAATAATATTACATCATAAGGATATAGCATATTTTATTTATTCATTCATCAGTTGATAGACACTGAGGTTGTTCCCACTTTTTGGCTACTATGAATAATGCTGCTATGGACATCTGTGTACAGATTTTTATGTGGACATGTTTTCATTTCTCTTGGATAGATATACAGGAGTGGAATTGTTGAATCATATGTAAACTCTGTGTTTTACTTTTCAAGGAACCGAAAAACTATTTTCCAAAATAGCCACAGTTTTACATTCCCACCAGAAGTGTATTAAGGGTCCAATTTCTCCACATCTTTGCCAACACTTGTTATTCCTTATCTGTTTTTTTTTTTTAAAGATTTTATTTATTTATTTGAGAGAGAGAGAGAGCACAAGAGGGAGGAGCGGGAGAGGGAGTAGCAGACTCCCCGCCGAGTAGGGAGCCCGATGCGGGACTCGATCCCGGGACTCCAGGATCATGACCTGAGCCGAGGCAGTCGCTTAACCAACTGAGCCACCCAGGCGCCCCCTTATCTATTTGATTATATCCATTGTAGTGTGAAGTGGTATGTCATTATGTTTTATGTGGGTGTCTGGTAAAATACATATAACATGAAGGATGCCATTTTAAGTATACAACTTGGCGGCACTAATTACATTCGCAATGTTGTGTGACCATCACCATTATCTATTTCCAAAATTTTCCATCATTCCAAGTAGAAACTCTGTACCCATTAAGCAGTAAAACTCCATCTCTGGACACCTTTAATCTACTTTCTATTGCTATTAATTTCTAGGTATTTCATATAAGTGGAATCATGCATTATTTGTCTTTTTATTTCTGGCTTCTTCTACTTAGCATGTTTTCAAAGTTTATCCATGGCATATATAGCCTGTATCAGAATGTCATTCCTTTTTATGGCTGAATACTATTCCACTGTGTTTATATACCACATTTTGTTTATCCGTACATCTGTTGATGGACACTTGAATTGTTTCCACCTTTTGGCTCTTGTGAAAAATGCTACAATGATTATTATCATACAAATACGGTAATAGTGGAATTGCAGGGTCATCTAGTAATTGTATTGTTAACTTTTAGAGAAACCACCAAACTGTTTTCCACAGTAGCTGAACCACTTTACATTCCTCCCAGCAATGTACAAGATTTCCAGTCTCTCCACATCCCCAACAACATTTTTTATTTTCTGGTTATTGTTGCTATTGCTGTTTTGGGTTTCGTTGTTGTTGTTATAGCCATTCTAGAAGGTATGAAGTGGTATTTCATTATGGTTTTGATTTGTATTTCCCTAATGACTAATGATGTTGAGCTTCTTTTTGTGTGCTTTCAGCTTTCATCTTCTTTGGATGAATGTATTTTCAAATCTTTAACTCATTTTTCAGGGTGCCGGGGTGGCTCAGTCATTAAGCGTCTTCGGCTTAGGTCATGATCCCAGGGTCCTGGGATCGAGCCCCGCATCGGGCTCCCTGCTCCGCGGGAAGCCTGCTTCTCCCTCTCCCACTCCCCCTCGCTGTGTCTCTCTCTGTCAAATAAATAAATAAAATCTTTAAAAAAAATCTTTAATTCATTTTTCTTAAGTTTACTTATTTATGTAATTTCTACACCTAACATGGGGCTCACAACCCCAAGATCAAGAGCCACATGCTCTTCCAACTGAGACAGCTAGGTGCCCCTGTAGTTCATTTTTTTTTTAAATCGTGTTATTTGCCTTGTTATGGATTTCCTTTATAGATGATGATCTTCAAATATTTTCTCCCATTCTTTAGGTTGCCTTTTCACTTCCTTGGTGGTATTATTTGTAGCACAAAATGTTCTAATTTTGACGTAGCCTAGTTTATTTATTTTTTTGTTTGTCACTTGTGCTTTTGATGTCATATCCAAAAAACCATTGCCTTACCCAAGGTCATAAATACTTACTTCTTAATTTTCTTCTAAGTGTTTCATAGTTTTACCTCTTATATTTAGGTCTACGAGTTATTTGAGTTAATTTTTTAGTATGGTGGTGAGGTAGGGGTCCAGCTTCATTCTTTTGTACATAAGTACCCAGTTGCTTCAGCACTATTTATTGAAAAGTCCGTTTTCTCCTGAATAAACTGTCTTGGCACTCTTGTCAAAAAACAAATGGTTAGAACCATATGGATTTATTTCTGAAATTTTAATTCTCTGGCAACTGATTTTTGTTAAAAATCCAAAAGTAATTCAGTGGGGAGAGGATAGTTTTTCAACAAAT